GACAATGGCGCACACCTGATGTAGAGAGCGACAATGGCGCACACCTGATGTAGAGAGCGACAATGGCGCACACCTGGTAGAGTGGGATGGGGTTTCGGTCGGTCCTTTCAGCTGAGGGTCTCGAAAGTCCTCCTCAACAATGAGCTTAGAGGGGGGTTTGGTTTCCTTGTCTTCTCCTCTCTCCACCCGTTACACAGCAATATACCCTAGCTCACAAGCTCGCAGTGGTTCGTCTTGCCAAGCTGGCAATCCTGACAGTGCATTCACGCTGGACCTGGTAGCTGAGGGCCAATAGGGAGGCGATGAGGGTTGTGGTGTACGGTCGGTCTTGGGGGTCGCGGACGCGTCTCGATTTAACGCATAATGCATTCATGAGTTGCCAGACGCTCAAGCGACAGCCTGCCTGTGGGTGAGCGTGGTGTGGGTGCATGGTGTCTCTCTCGACAGCGGTGCACCGAATGGATTGCACAGCCCATTACCTGTCAGGTGATGTGGTCGAGTGTCTTGGCACACTTTGGCCATTCGTGCCGGGTAGTGTAGAACAAGAGGGATAGTACTGGTCTGAGACGCCACCCGGCGCTGTCGAGTCTTTTGCCCTTTTTTGGCGATCCCCTCCTTTGAGCTCGCGGAGGAGAGGAAAAGAGAAGAGGAGGGAAAAAGGAAGGAAAAGAGAAGGAAAGAGAAGCGACCGAGCGAGAGGGGAGGTGGGAGGGTACAAAAATCAGGAAAATGACGATTTCTGTCACTTGCAGCGCTGGGCTCTGCGGCCGCTGTGTGCTCAGGAGGTGGTCAGGAGTTCTGCAGTTATCTGCAGTAGCGTTGGTTGGCTGCCCGTGCAGCACTCAAGGGCAGACGTAGGCATCCGCGGCTGAGGGCCTCACTCACTGGTGCACAGATATGCAAGAAACAGCACCGGCCCGGGGTGACCATCCATGCGTTTTGTTTGTTGTCATGCAGACGAGGTCACTGAGCCGTAAGCTGCAGCTATGCAGCAAGATGGCAACGACGGGCATGCCCGTCCGGTGCGTCACCATGAACCTCCTGATGCGGTGCACACCTATCTGGACGGCATGAGTGTACGTGTGTGGCTGGTGTGTATGTGTGTGCAGGAAGCGACTCGCGATGAGGGCCTCCGTCGGTTCCGGCGTGAGATGGATCGCATCGAAGAGCTCATCCATACACTAGAAGCGCAAGTGGGCGGGGTGAGGGGTGGTGTGTGTGTGTGTTCCGTATGTCACCCAGATCCATGATTCGTTATTGCTGCAGGTAGCTGGCAACGATGCCTCGCTGACGGGCCGCGACCTGTCTGTGGTGGTGGGCCACGTGAGCCGTGGCGGCGGCTGTCTCAAGGAGGCCGTCGAGCATCTGAACAACATACACAACACCAACTCACTGCAGGGCGGAGTGGCAGAGGTACATATCACAGCTCACACACATTCCAGCTCACCTGTATCTCTGTGTGTGTTGTCTGAGCAACAGGGTGACTGTAGTGGTCGTGCGGAAGAGCTGGCCGTGGAGGGGACTCAGAAGGCGACTCATGAAACATCCGTATCGGTGTGTACTTTGAGAGCAGCCCGTCAGGCACCACCCTCTGCCCTCTAATCCTGTCTCTGTGTGTGTGTGCAGGTAGCTGGTGTGTCGGATAGCAAGCGAGCGCGTGTGGTGGATGGCTCGAGTTGTCGTCATGCGGCTGCTGCTGCTGCTGCTGCGGCTGCTGCTGGCGGTGACGGTGGTACGCACTAATTGAAACAGAAATGGACCAAATACCATAGATGCGCCCACTCGGACAGTCTGTTTGTCTGTTGTGTGTGCAGGTGGTGTGTCGAGTGGTCCCCAGCAAGACGGCCAGGGACACGACCAACAGCAGCAGCCTACGAAGGTCAGCCTCGACACACATCAAGCCGCTTATACGCACCCGTCACATCGTTCCGTTCGTCTATTGTGACATGTGTGTCAGGTTGTGGGTGGGCCGTCGCGTCTGTGTGGTCTGGAGGGCCCGCTGCTGTGTGACATAGCCTCGTGGCTGACCACCATCGAGGCCACTGTCCTCTGCCTCCTCAATAGGGGCATCAACGGCATAGCCGACTGCACGCCCAACCACCACCCCAGCAGCGCCCAAGACGGCAGCAGCAAGGCCACGCCCTTCGGCATCTACCGCAACCTCACCATCGCTGAGGAGGAGGTCGAGACGTGGAGCAACCTCGACCTGGCCACACAGACACGTCTGAGGGGCAAACTGGTGAGTGAGACCAACACCGTGCCGCTAACACCCATCCACACCACTCATATGTGGTTTCTGTCTGTCTGTCCGTTCGTCAGGGCAACGTCACGACAGCCCGCATCCCGTCATCCACGGGGCCATACGAGAAGCGCAACGCGAGTTGCCATTCCTTCGTAGCGACATGTCTGGAGGCTGCCAAGGCATCCCTGAAACACCTCTACATCGGTGGCGACAGAGGCACCCGCCGTGCGCCGTGGTGTGCACCGCCCCCTGTGGCCTTCACGGCACTCACCAACCTGCACGTGGAACGCGACACGTGGATCGAATACTTCGGGTGAGTCAGGCTGACCATGCACACATATTCATGAGGGTCCCCTCACTGTGCTGTTGGTCTCTACAGTGACGCCCACTGGACCTTCCCAGCCCTCGTCGACTGCCAAGGACTGAATGCCCCTGCGACGGGGATCGCTCCCAGGGCCGTCGCGGGCATCACCCAGATCGTAAGGTCATCCCCTCAGCTGACGACACTTGCGATAAAGGACATCAGCGATTGCGGCAGCCGCGACTTCATCGCCGCCCTCGGCCAGTACAGTCGCCTCAGCACCATCCGTGGGCTGCGCGTCACCAAAGAGGCGTTGAGGAATGGTCATATAGCTGACCTGCAAAGGTCCTTGGATGCCCAGTGGAGCAAACCGGAAATGCAAGGTCAGTAATAAGCAGAGGTGGATAGGGAGAGACCGAGTCGATGCACTGATGCCTTGTGGCCCGATCGTCCATCCATCAGGAGTGAAGAAGACAATCGAGTTCGTGTATGGATGCCCCATCGACCACAACTTGGGCGACCTGACCCGCCCCCTGCGCGACTTCCTCGCGTGGGCCCGACGAGTCAGCGCCACGGTCGAGTGGCGGTCGGGCGCCTGCGTGACGGTCGACTGCAGCACGGAGCCCCTGAGTGCCACTGCCCCCATTGCCGTGCGTGGCCCTGTAGCCGATGCAGTCAAAGAGGTCGCCCAGAAAGCCAACCGCGTAAGTTAGATGGGGAACAAATGGGACAGACAAGGAACGAATCGCACGGTTTGTATGCATGCCATGGCTGCATTCCTTCAACTCAGATGTGGCTCTTCTGTGGCGGGTACCGTACCCCTCTGGACGAGTCGTGGAAGGACGTGCTCAACTTTCCCAACGTGACGCAGCTGTGGATCCGCCAATGCGTGCATGACGATCACCGTCAGAGCGCGGAGATCGTGTCGGACAGCATTCCCCCATTTATGACAGAGGTCGACGAGGACGGCAACAACGTCTGCTTTCCACGAATCGAGCACCTGGATCTCACGCTAGCCTACATCCTGGGCTCGCACCCCCCTGAGGGCGCCTGGCATTTTTCTGCCGGCCCCAACAAGCTTAGCACACTGCTAGGCAGCCTGCGCCACGTCGGATCAGTCCAGTTCAGAACCTCTGACCTCTCTGTCTTGTCTGAGTGCCTGCCACTGCTGCCCACTGAGCGCATCGATGAGGTCAGCGTCGTTTTTTGCGACAACCTACGTGCGTTGCCTGATGCATGCCAACCACTCACACGCCCTGCCGTGACATCGCTGTGGTCTGATGATGATGATCTGATTGATCTCAGCAAAGATCAGGCCTTGTCGGTTATGAGTGTTGTGACCCACGTGCGACCGTCCAAAGCGCATCTGAGTCTGCACCTCCTTACCAGTGAGTTTGAGCTGGACGAGGAGGGGGCGTCAGATGAGGAGCAGATAGCCCATGCAGAGCAGGAGCTGCGTGCGTTGGCGTGTGAGTGCTTCGAGCGGGTGATGGCTTCATACTCACTCGACAGCCTCACTATCCAGTGTGACATGATCGAGGACGAGTGGGGGGAGAGCTTCCTCGGGTTTTGTGTACTCACGCTGGACCTGGTAGCTAAGGGCCAACAGGGAGGCGATGAGGGGGAAAGGGGGGTAGTGCTGCGCGTTCTTTTGGTGTACGGTCAGACTTGAAGCGTGTCGTTTTGATGCGTCATGGCCGTATGGACGCGCTCAAACGACAGCCTCAGGACGGCCTGCATGTGTAGATGTGAATATTGAGTGCCTGGATGTGGGTGCTCATGTCTAAATGTACATGAAGTGGATGGACAGCGCACAGCCCGCCCCACTACACACCTGACATTCGAGTCGACCTGTGTACGTTTTGCCGACGGTTGCTTGATTAAACAAAGCGGGGCTGTCGTGTATGAGGCGGCAGTCATTTTACATCGATGCACGCACGGCCGAATCCATTGGTTCGACCGCTCGAATGATTGCGAGCTGTAGCTCGCGACGATTCCGGACTAGCGGTGATGTTGCGGCGATTTTCTCTCTTAAGCGCCTCACGGCGGCCAGGGAAGCTGTTTCTGCTGGCCTCCATCAAGCAAACATGCCTTTCTCACACTTCAGCGCCACAACAGAGATCTTCCCGCCGGCTTCAGCAGCCCTTTCTTGACGCCATGGAGCGGGCGGACTACATTCATGCGACCCAGAAGAGGCGGCCCAATTGCATGACCCTGCAAGAGAGGCGTTTCTCGTCTTCAACGACGCAGAGTCCGGCGGATGATGATGGAAGAGGCGAGGCAGATCCACCTCTCCCATCACAGAAAGGGCCACATGACGAGGATGCATCGCTGGATCGGTTCCGGGAGTCGCTGCGCGAGGCGTCGAGGCTGCTGCAGTGCGGTTTGGTGGAGCGGGAGGAGGTCTGTCTGGTGGTGCTGCTGGCACTGGTCACCGGGAGTCATCTGTTCCTGCTTGGCCCTCCTGGGACGGCAAAGAGCGAGATCGCAAGACGGCTGGCGAAGCTCTTGCAGGTGACACGAGCGCATGAGTGATCCATATGGGGCTCATGAACTGATGGCTGCTCGTTCAGGGGAGGTTTTTCGAGCGTCTGTTGACCCCTTTCTCACTGCCCGAGGAGGTGTTCGGGCCCTACTCATTAAGCGCCATTGCTGAGGGCCGGTTCGAGCGGCTGACGGACAAGTATCTCCCAACCGCCGAGTTTGCTTTCCTGGATGAGATCTTCAAGGTCAGAAGAAACCGAGAACCGGTTCGTTCGTTGCATGTGGTGGATTTGTGTCATGCAGGCAAACAGTTCCATCCTCAACTCGCTCCTTACGATCCTCAACGAACGCGAGTTCGACAACGGCACAACGCGCATGCGGGTCAGAAAAGCAATGAAAGAGCAGGCAATGACCGAGGCGCATGGACAACCGGTCATTTCATCCCCATGTTATCATCAGGTCCCTCTGCGGACTCTGATATCAGCGAGCAACGAGGTGCCGGTGACGGGCGAGCTGCGGGCCCTCAGCGACAGGTTCCTGCTGCGGTGCTATGTGGATAGTGTGAGTGTGGCTGGCTTCGAGGCGGTGGTAAGGGGGGCGGCCGAGAGCGAACGGCTCGAGGGAATCCACCACAAGTTCACTGCAGCTGAGACGCAGAGGTAGGCAGGCAGGGGGAAGATCGGAGGGTGGTTTAGGCTTGTGCACTTATCTCTCTCTCTCTCTCTCTCTCTCTCTTGCTCTTGTGGGTGTGCAGGTATCGCTCATTGGCCCTGTTGCGTGTGAATGGCCTGAATGAAGAAATAGTGGACGTCCTCAAGATGCTCCGACAGTTCCTCAAGGAGCAAGACATCCTCGTCTCCGACAGGAGGTGGCGTCAGATCGGCGAGCTGCTCAAGGTGGTGGCGTACACGTCGGGCCGCCTCGACGTCACACGAATCGACCTCTGCATGTTGAAGTACTGCTGCTGGGAGACCATGGAGCAGGTGGCTGTGGTCGAGAAGTGGCTCATCGACAACTTCGCGGCACCCACATACCTGCAGCAGGGGGTCATCAAGGGTCTTGCCAGGAAGGTGTCGCAATGGCAGACCATCGCCAAGGATGGCCGCGACATGGTATGCCGTGGAAGTGGAGCCCCTCACGACGTGGACGTTTGACGTTGTGTGTTGTATTGTTTATTGATGCAGTTGACGTATGCGTCATCGATCCGGGAGTTGCTGGAGGAGCACTTTGACTTGGGCGAGCACGGCACGCAGCGACAACTCATCGAGCAGCACCAGTGGCTGTCCCACGACATGAAAACCAAGGTACACGCACCGCACAGGCAGGCACGAGCCCAGACCACACCTAGACCAATTCCCTTCGCCTGGCTGCTGTCCCAGGCGCTGAAAGGTCTCCGGCAGGCAGCCTCGAGGTACAGCGATGCCGGCCTTTCTGACATCGCTCTCACTCTCGGCCAGTCCATCACTTTCGCCTCGCGCCCATACGCCGGCACGCCCACCAAACCCAATGTGGCATGCGTCCTCGTCGGCCCCTCCCACTGGCCAGTCAGCATCATCACCGCCACTTTGGATGAGCTACTCGAGGCGATGGCGACAGACGGTGGCAGGGAAGACAGCTGCGGGGTGCGTGAGCGTGTGCGCGAGAGGGGTTTGGACGGCAGGAGTGAGGGGTCTGTGTATGTGTCGGAGCTCTTTGATGAGTGGCAAGACATTCGGCGACTCCTGGGTAAGTCAGCCAGGCAAGGAAGCAACGTGCCATCTGTATTCAGTAGTGTGTGGGCTTCCCTTCTGTGTAGGTCCATCAGGTGTGGCTTTCCACGAAGGCATCCCATCATCTCCAGCCGAGGCGCGAGACATCCACGACTCGCTGGCGTCACTGCTTAGAGAGAAGGAAAACAATGCCGCCAAACGAGAGACGGACCAAGCGGCGGTGCTGTCAGACGATCCAGGCCGAGATGCCGCAGATGTGGAGAGGGAGCCAGTCCGTGAGGATTTGGCGTTCAGTGAGACGATGCGGCTGGACCATGCCTCCAACATTCCTTGACGAGAACACTGCTGGTGCTGCAGCTGCTGGGTGGCCTTGGTGGGTGCTGTGTGTGTGCTTCCCTCTCGTCGTGTGTCTGGCTGCGTGACGGGCTTCGCGTCAGATGGCGGTTAGACTGGTCAGCCCTAGTCTAATTTCTGTTGGTGCCGGTGCCTTCATGCAAACAGACACAGCGAGAGAGAAGAACCGATGGATGGACAAGAAGAGGGCTGTGTGTGCATCTCAGATGGTGGGGCGGGCGGGGCGTGTCGGTGTGTACAGAGAGACAGACAGACAGACAGGGTGTCAGTGGGTCAGTCAGGCCACTTACTTACACGAGTGCGAGCAGATGGGGGGAGACGGTGCTTGTACAGTCGTGGAATGGGCACACTTGCTCACGTCAATGTGACTGACTGACTGAATGCATCCACACTCTATCGTGTCCCTCACAACCAACCACCACCCAGCACGCACCAAATGAATGACAGACAGACAGACAGACAGACAGGCCGGCAGTCAGTCAGTCAGTCTGGCGGTCACCGACATGCCGAGGCACGACATGCTTGTTCGACAATCACACAAACTTATGCAAGTCACGAGTAGTCGTGCGCATAAACTATTGCAGTAAGTACCATTAAGGATAGATAGGCGCGTGACACAGTTGCGTCTCAACCGTACAGCCCCAAACCAGAGGCTCTCAAGCTGCAGCAGGGAGGGCATTGTGTAAGTGCACACAGACACACACAGGGGTGCAGCTCCCTGTGTGTGCGTGGTGGGTGTGTCAGGCTGGACTCCTCCCTCAAGCTGCCGGGCTACGAGCGTCTGCGGGGCCTCCTGCAGGACAACGACATTCCGGTCCTCTCCGCGATGGAACACGCCGACATGTGTGCCAAGTGCCAATGCATTCGTGGGTGGATGGATGGACGGATGCGTTCAATGGTGTTCGAGGAAGGGTGGCTGACGTGAGACACTAACTCACGGACGAGATGACTGACATGCATGGCAAGGATGGTTGCAACGATGCGGTGCCGACACAGAGACAGAACGCACCAACCAGCCAACTAGGCAATCTGCCTCACGCCGAAGCGCGACGCGCCATTAATAACCGTTCCACAAGAACTGTACACACCCACACTACACACACGCAGCACCATGCAGGCAGGCAGGCGTTGCCGTCGTGTGTTTGGTATGCCACCTTCGATGTGGGAAAGTAAGTGCCCACAGTGCCGTCAGGCACCTGCAATACACCAGGAGAGCCAGGTATTGATTGTGTTGTCTCTGTCTGCTTTGTGTTGCTTTGGTTGGTCGTCCCAGTGCATCGTGTGGGGCTGGGGCTGACTTGAGCAAAGTCACGATCTCATGAATGCCCCAGGATGGTGATGGATGACGCAACTGCATCGATCGCATGTGTGAGCGCAGTGGATTGATTGATTGCACGTATGTATGCAGTAATGTCGCTTCCCCACCTACGGCTACGTAGCCTACTGTCTACCGACCACAACTGAGTGCACACAGACAGACACTCACCCGCCCACCCACTCAGACTCACCCATTTAGGCAGCTCGGTCTCTGGCCGCTGAAGCAGCACCACACCAACACGCGGACCGGCAAAAGGCCGCCGCCGCCAACACAAAGCTCTAAAACGCAGCCAGTGTGTCCCCTCCCCTGCCCTCCCCCAATGTCCCCCCCTCTAGTGGCTACATGGCTATGTGGCTGGTGCAGTCATCTTGTTGCCCATGTCGTATGCCATCCTCCTCCCCAGCTGTGTGAGCTGGACGCCCTCGTTGCAGAAGTGGCAGGCGAAGAGCAGCCAGTTGCGGGGCTGCACCATGTAGGCGAACCGCATGAACAGCATCGAGTACACGCACAGCACACCCGTCATACGAGCGCCTGCAAGAAGGTCAGTCAGTCATCACACCACAGGGCGCACGCAGGTGACAGCGGGGGAGGCGGAAACTGGTGTGTGTGTGTCTGCTTACTGATCACTTCTGGCGATTTGGTCATGTCATTGAGCCCCTGCGTCAACACACAGAGAGGTGACAATGCAGAGATCTGTCGGCCCTCGGCACAGCCCGTACCGCGATAACAAATCCCCAGTTGGCGATGGGACCCCAAAAATGTGTGGTCATGCCTGACACACACGGGCATCCATCAGATCTCATCAAGATCCCTCCCCGCGAGCGGTTCTGTTTCGCCGTCCTCACTTACCATATGTTTTGAAGTATTGTATGAAGTTGTTGAGCTGCGTCTTCACCGCGTTGCTGCCCGACATGCTCGGAGGAAAGAAGGCTCTGCCCTCCACCCTTCAGCTCGCACAATCCAAGCTCGCGTTTCCCTCTCGCTTTCCGTGGCTTTGCGGGCAGGTCGTGGATTCTGCGACACGTGCAGACAGCTTCTGGGTGCATTCGAAAGTCTGTTATTTTGCTGGATCCGGTTTTCGAGATTCTTCGCAACAGCCTGACCTGAGGAGGTACGCGGCAGTGACATGATGCAGCACGCACTGACAGAGTAGATACTGTGCATCAGGATGCCCGGCGCTTTTTCCTCTGGTTTATCAGATCTGAGCGCGGCGTGATTTGACGCGTAGCAGAGATCATCATGTCGGCTGGAGGCGAGCATGGCGCGTCATCTAGGGAGCAGCAGCTGGAGCAGGAGCGGCAGATCGCGGCACTCAAGCAGCTGCAGGCTGACGCCGGCCTGGTGCCCAAGGCCAACGTGGATGCCAAGCTGGACTGGATGTATGAGGATCCTCGGGCTGCCAAGACGGAGGAGAGCACCGAGGATTTCCTGCTGGGCAAGAAGAAACCCGACGCTGAGGGCAAGGAGGACGTCGAGCGGGTCAAGCAGCTGTCGGCCTCGCAGGGAGGGGCGGTGGGCTCTCTGTTCCTCACGTCCCTCACCACGACCACAGAGGACACTCTCAGGAAGCTCCGTGAGGACCCGCTGCTGGTCATCAAGCAGGCCGAGATGCAGCAGCGGCAGAACGTTTTCAAGAACCCGTTGCTCCGCGAGCAGCTGCTGAGCAAGGATGACAAGGACAAGAGAAAGAAGGCCAAGAAGGAAAAGAAGAAGCAGAAGAAACGCGGCAGGGGGTCTTCGTCAGAGTCCGACGCTGACCGCAGGAAACACCGCAAGCGCGAGGCCAAAGACGAGGGCCACCCATCCTCCGTCAAGAGGGAGAGGGAGGAGGGAGACAGGCGGGAAGGAAAGGGGGGCTTCTCCATGCCTGAGGGCAAGTATCGTCTTGAGGACACGCTGGACCTGATGCAGAACGACCCCGACATTCGTCGTGCGCGGGCCAAGTGGGACTCAGAGCGTGAGCGTCGGCGTGAGGAGCACTTCAACCTCGAGATAGACCGGGAGAACAGAGGCAGGCGGGGCGGGGGGAGGGACAGGGAGAGGGAGGACGAACTCGATGACGATGACGACATATTCAGACGAGTAAGAAGCGGCGAGCCAAAACACACGCGGCCGACGATAGATTCGCCACCTGTGTTGTGTGTCTGTGTGGTGATTGAATGCAGAGGCGGGTGCGCGATGCCGAGGACGAAAGGGACAGGGAGAGGGAGACGGCACGTGAGCGGGACACACGCGACAGCTACGACCGCCGCAACCCACCACGAGACGAACGCAACGGCCGCCGATATGACCGTGAAGATAATGACGACTGGCGGTCATCTCGGAGGCCTCGAGATGACGACCGAGATCGATCTCGTGACGATCGGCGGCCGTCGCCGGTGCGTGTCAAGAGGGAGCCCGACAACGAGGAGAGGCGGTACGGCAGGAGCGGCAGCGACCGGCGCGACCAGAGAGACGACAGAGATCGAGATCTCGGACCTGACCCACGGGTGTTCCGAGGCCGGGATGAGGGGCCCGCTGGGCGGGACGGCATAGATCGACGTGACCGCGACAGGAGGGAGAGGGACAGAGACAGAGGTGGTGGGAGGATGACGGCTGAGGAGAGGGAGAGGCGGCTGCGCGAGATGGAGGATGATGCGAAACGGTGAGCGGGCGAGGGCATTCCTGGTGTCATATTTATTGTGTTTGTTTATGTAATTAATGTGTGCAGCCATGAGGTTGAGCGCCACAGCCGTCTGAGTGAGATGGAGAAGAAAGAGCAACAAGTCGAGAAAATCGAGAAGGAACGACGAGAGGCACAGGTAACATTTCAGACCCACCAATCCACCCATCCCTGCCGGCCGGCGGCCATGCATCTGCCCGTGTGTGCAGGCGGCTCGTTCGTCTGGTGAGGGGATGGGTTCTCGATACCTGGACAAGGTCAAGAAGAACGTCTACATGGAGAGCGGCATGAGCATGGAGGAAATCATCAAACGCAACGTGGCCCGCAGACAGCGGCAGGGCGGGCAGGAGGACACACTCGAGCAAGACTGACTGAAGACGACTGACTGATTCATTGCTGCATCTCTGGCGGCCCCCTGATTGGTTGAGAGAGGGAGAGACGTCTGGTGGTCGGTATCTTTGCCTTGTCTGCGTGATGAGGATTTGCGTGGCGGTGTGGAGTGCACATGACTCCGGTGGTTCGAAATTCTATGGTTAAGACACACGTACACATACACACACAGGTGTGCAAGTCACGCGCACTCATGGACATCATGGCAGAAGTCAGCGAATGAATGCAGTGAGTGGCGTCATGGCATGACCGTGGATGTGATGTGCACACACAGTCAGTCAGTCATTCAGTCGGGTGTGCTCTCTTGACGGCACTCCTCACCAGAAATAGAGAAATGCCACACAGACAGACAGCCGACCAGGCAGACAGACAGCTAGGCAGCCAGGTGGGTACCTTGGCTACGATATATGGTATAGTACATGTCAGTCAGCACCAGCAGCAGCAGGCGTCCATCCATCCATCCATCCATCCATCCATGTGTGTGTGTGTGTGCCTAGCACCGTGCTCTCGCGTCGGTTGTGATGGTGGGACAGGCGGCCATGCAGTCAGGCAAGCAAGCAGGCAGGCAGGCAGGCAGGAAGGCAAAAGGCGAAGAAAAGCGGAGAAAGGCAGAAAGGCAGGGAACCACGTCACACACACACACAGGGAAATATCATCCTTCAGTTAGCCATAGCTATTGAACTGAAGGCGGAAACTCTGACACTCTCAATCCCCCCCCCAACACACACACACACATGGCGGCCGAAACAGGGGGCCGGGACGGGACGGGACGGTACTGACTCACAGACGGACGACAAATGAGGGACAGTACCATTCCACACACACACATGCAGTGCCTCTCTTGTTTGTCTGTCTCGTCCATGGGTGGCCAGAACTACACAGACGGCGGGCGGACGACCACAGACCCTCACCTCCCCACAGACACACACACACACACACACACAGCGCCCCGACCCACCTCTCCCCAGCGACCCGACCCGTGTGCATGAAGGAGTTCACGAATTGGTCTCGTCTGGTGGTGGACGTGCGTGTGCGTGCGATTCAGCGGCCCCTTGCGCTAACGATGCGCTTCTAAATACAGACGGGGCAGACGAACCACGACACACAAGCATCCTCCACACACATGCAGCGGTTAGAACAAATAGCGGCTGTCGGGACTGGGGAGTGGATGAGTGGATGAGGTCTCTCTGTCTCTGTCTCTCTCTCTCAGGGAGGGGGCACTGCCCGTCACTCCACCGAGGTCGCTGCACCCCCTGACCCAGCATGCAGCTGTCGTCGCTCTACCGCACTGTATGTGTGGAGACACGTACACATAGATAGGATAGCACATAGATATGTATGCAGCTGTCTGTACAGACACCGATCATCGCATCGCATAGCACCCTACTAGTTCGCCGCATCCACTAGCCTTACCTATCACCTGTCTAGCTATTCGATCTGTCTATTGCTCGCAGTTCCTCCCTCCTCCCCCGCCGTGCTTTATTCAAAAACGGGGCAAAAGCTCTCCAGCACGCACCCAGGCACCACCCCCCCACCCAACCGCCCCACATTCACACAGACGGATATACATCATCCTTTCATCAGCACACACACACACACACATGGGCAGAGATAAGATAGGATAGGATAGACGGCGTCGGGTAGCGGAGCGGCAGGGATCATCAGCCACGAGAACGTGGGCTGGAAACTCGCCCTCGCTTGCACGGCTCTGCTCGCTTTCTGTCGCTGTCCACGTGAGCAGTAAGGCGTTGAGGTCCTCCACTTCACGAGGCATCATGACCAGTGTCACGTCATGATGTCTGTTGAAGCAGTCCGCCCCAACGCGGTGCTGCGCACCGACAAGACAGCAAAGAAGGCACCACAGAGCCAAGTCACATCACTCTCTGGTCTGTCTCGCCGCAAGCAAGTAGCGCAAACTCCCCTATCCATCCACACACCCACACCCTCACGTACGCTCACACAAATATGCTCGTCTGTCTGTCATCTCACTGACGTGACGACTGGCAGGTGCAAAACTCTGCAAAGTCTGTCTGACCTGGGAACGGCTGAAAGGGATGTCGCGTCGATCGATGAGCAAAACCGACAGACACGGACACAGACACAAGACACAGACACGGGGAAAAAGAGAGGGAGAGACGGGCACTCTGGACATGCACATAGACACACCGGAGACGGCTGCCTTCGAAAATCAGACACGCACTTGCCTTCTCTCTCACCCTCTCTGATCTCCTCTGCTCTCGGTTCAAAAGACCGCCACACAGCCGTTCTCATCCATGGAACTCCACTCCAAAACACACCACACCCCCACACACCCGACACACAGCCTCACTCACTCACAGAGCCTCTGCTGGCCCGGAGCACCTCATAAGGCATCATCAGGAACGACTAGGCGGTGATCCGCACCGGCCTCTCGAGAGCATCACGGTCGGAGGAGGGAGGGGGGGATTGGGATGAAGGGCCGTTGTCCTGCTCGTGCCGCCGATATGACGCGGCCACTTCGGGAGAGACGGACCTCCGTGCTGTCTTGAGGGCCTCGTCGAAGTGGCGCTGGGAGACATCGATGGGCCGCTTGGATGACGCCTCGATGTTCTCCCTCACCGCCAGCCTCGCGGCCCGCTGACACAGCTCGTTGATGTCCGCACCCGAGAAGCCCTCCATCTGCTGAGCGAGTCGATCAAGGTCGACGTTCGTCTCGACAGGCGTCTTCCGCAGACAGGCCTCGAGGCAGCTCCGCCGCGCCCCCTCATCAGGCAGTGGAATCAGCACTATCCGGTCGAATCGTCCCGGTCTCAGGAGTGCTTCGTCGAGCACGTCGGGGCGGTTGGTGGCGGCGATGACGACCACGTGCTTGCCGCTGTCACTGCCGAGGCCGTCCAGCTCGGTCAGCAGCTGGTTGAGCACCCTTGCGGACGCCTCGCTGCCCTCGCCGCTGGATGTGCTGCCTCTCCGCCGACCTAAGGCATCGATCTCGTCGAAGAAGATCACGGCGGGGGCGCTGGCCCTGAGGGTAACAAGGAGAGGTGGTGAGGACGGGGGTCTCTGTGTGTGTGTGTCTCGATGTCTGTGTGGGCGCCCACCTCGCTATTTTGAACAGTTCCCGTACGTTGGCCTCTGACTGGCCAAACCACTTGCTCAGCAGCTCAGGACCCTTCACAGACAGGAAATTAGCCCCGCTCTCGCGCGCAACAGCCTGATGCCCACAGACACACAGTCCAGTGAAAGCAGACATGAGACATCCCTCCCTCCATCTCTCTACCTCACCTTAGCGAGCAGCGTCTTGCCGCAACCGGGCGGTCCGTGGAGCAGCACGCCCCTGCTGGCCTGCAGATTGAACTTGCTGACCAACTCGGGGTGGTTCAATGGCAGGTCGATGGCCTCTTTCAGCTCATCCTTGACCGCATCAAGCCCGCCGATGTCGCACCAAGACACACTGGGCGTCTCTATGGTGTACTGGGCGTCCTGCAGGCAGGACGGCTTGACGACCGTCAGGGCCTGCTCGAAGTGGTCATGCGACACCGTCAGGCCGTGCTCGGCCACGGCGCTTTTGACGCACGGCAGGCCGTTGTATGAAATCTGGTTCCGGAGACTGTCGTCAGAGTGTCCGCGAACGCGTGACTGGCGTGGGGCGCGTTGGTGGCCCTCTGTGCGGGCGAGGTGGTCGCGGATGCAGAGTTTACCCGCCATCTTGCACAGCAGCGCCAGGTCCGCCCCGACGTAGCCGTGTGTCCGCTCAGCGATGGAGTCGAGCTTGACATCTGGTGCCAGTCGCAAGCCGCGCGTCAGCACGGCCAGGATCTCACGACTGTCCGATGAGACACAGAGGACAACGTGCATGTGTCCAAGTGGGTGGCACCTCCCTCTCTCCCTCTCACCGGCCGTCCTTGTCGGGCATGCCCATCTCGACCTCAGCCTCAAAACGCCCCAGCCTGACACGACGCAAGAAGGCACACAGCAGCGTCTCAGCTTGTTCCAAGTGGTGTGTTGTATCTCTTGGAGACTACCTTCTGAGTGCAGGGTCGATGTGCTCTATGTTCGATGTGGTGCCCATGACTATCACGCGACGAGTAGCCAGCTCCTCGAAGAACCGACACAACTGCATTGCATTCCGTGACGACCACACCAACACAGCCCACCATGACGACAACCATCCAGTGCATGCCCCTGTCTGTCTGTCTGCTCACGTGTTCGGTGATTGACCGTCCGTGTATCCCGACGCCTCCCTTGCTGCCAGGGCTTTGGGGGGCGAGCATGTCCAAGTCCTCCATCAACACGATGGACGGACTGCTGCTCTTCTCAGCCGCTCTCAGAACATTGTCCAGATACTGACTCACAGGCGTGCTCTCCGACTCGGCAACCTGACGCACACAGACGCATACAGGGAACAGACATCGAGATGATGCCTTCTGCCCGTTTCGACTCTTCTGCTGACCTCCAGCTTGGCGGCAGAGATGGTGATGAGGTTGGCTCCCGTGCCATTTGCAAGTGCCTTGACCATCGACCTCTTGCCGCAGCCGTGCGGGCCGTGGAGAATCACGCCGCGTGAGGGCTCCGGGAGGCCTTCGTAGAGCTCTGGGCGCAGCAGGGGCACCTCCACCACCTGGCGGAGCTCACTGAGGGCAGCCTGGCACCCACCCAGGGAGGCGAAGACGTCTTCAGACACGGAGCAGCCGGAGTCGCCACACATATCCATATCCATGTCATCTATCATGGGGACAGACAGACAACAAACACATCACATGCACGCACACAAACGCAGACATGCACATGCATTCCATTGGCCAAGACATGCCCTCCCTGTTACCTGCTTGCGTGGTCCGATCGTCTTGTGCTGCCTCGTCCGTGGTCGCCTGGTCGTCTCCATCCACCCACCACCTCCGCACCCGCCACTCCCTGCCGTCCTTGGCCTCAAGCGCACTCAGGTCTCCCCCTCGGATGGAGACACGGCCGCGCCTGCGTTTCAGCGTGTGCTTGCGGGAACCGCCTCGTATGCGGTGCAGCAGAGGGAAGAGGTCAGACGCCAGGGAGCCTTTGTCTGAGGGGGGTGAGCGTCTTCGGATGGCGAAGACGGTCATGGCGGGAGAGAGGAGGGCGTAGGTGAGGGGCACAAGCCAGCTGACCGACAGCATGGCCTTCACAGAACAGAGCACCACCCAGGCTGCTTGGATGGCTGCACGGCGATAGTGCCGACCGACGAGATGCTTGTTGAAAGGGAAAAATCGCCAATGGGAAAAATGAAAACAGCAAGTGAGTGAGTGAAGAAACCGGTGTGACGATGAGGCAAAGGAAGGGGGAAGAGCAGCCTGCGAGATCTGCTGCGAGCTTAGAATGCAGCTCAGCTCGCAGATTTCCCCTGCCACAGATCTCGTCTCAGAATGAAGCTCCTGGCGTCCCTCCTCGTCTCTTCACTGGGTGTCGTCATATCTGTCGCCTCGAACACCCGTCCTTTCCCACCATCCCGTCCCCTCGCCCCTCGCTCTCTCCGCGCCGTCGGCTTCATCCTGCTGCCACCACTGTCCTCACCATCATCACCGCGATCACCGTCTGTGTCAGTTTCCGACGGTGGCATCACGTCGCTGGAGGCGGTGCCGAAGAAGAAGACCAGCAGGTCCAGGCGCGACAAGCGAAGGAAGCAGTGGTACAAGCTGCCCACCATGGCAAGGAACAAGGGGTGGATTGAGCCGGTGAGTGCACAGGCAAGGAGATCTATCTGGTCATGGGAGCTGTGGAATCATTGTGTTTCGGGTGTTGGCTGTGGTGTGTGCAGGACACGAAGAGCAACATCGAGCCTGGGTGGCTGGTGGCACCGCCAGCACAGTGATTTGCAATGGTGGGGGTGGTGCATGGGATGGCATGGCTGCCTTGTCTTTCGGCAGCTCATATCCTGCCTCGGTGTGTATAGTCGATGTGATAAGAGAGAGAGATGAGCTTTAGGGCTTTTCACTAGGCTGGCATTATGTGTGTGGTGGCGTGCTTGAACTGATGTATCTCTGCCGTTGTTGTCGTCGGTGTGGAGCCGTCGGTTCACATGCCGGTGGCTGCGTGCGGATGAGGGCGGGGGCAGAGATCCGTCAGAGGGAGCATGAGTGGAGTGTGTGTGCGGACCATACGGCAGCTGCCGCATGCCATGACCAGAGAGAAGGAAGGCTGATCTGTTTCTGTCGGTGTGCTTCGTGGTGATTCGTCCTGCGCGTATGTCAGCAGCTGCAGTGTCATCCACACAGAGCTGCTATGAACAAGGCGGCTCTGTGTCGATGGCCCTGGAGTTGGACACGTAGTGCAGTGGCGAATCTGCCTCACGCAATTGTGCCCTCTCGCTTAGACTGACAGATAGACGGACTGTGGACGGCTCGATGAGCCGAGTGTGACATGACCTTTCAATGTCGTTGCCCGTGTGTCCATCCGTCATTCGATTGATCACTCACAAGGGCGGCCCACACAGGCCATGAATCGACATGACTCTCCCTCACTGACTGCAGGCCTGTCTATCGTGTTCAAGACTGGAAGTGCTTCTTGTGCAGCCGCACCTGCTTGACCACCGGCCAGGCCGTCTTCTTGACGTCCACACACACGTACTGACCCTCAGACGTCTGAACGTCAACACACCACACACCAAAACACATTTGCACATGACAAACCTATGTGTGTGTGTGTGTGGGCAGGTATGTACCCTCGGGCAGGCGGTGAGCAGCGTCTTGACCTCCCGCTCGTCGATGGCGGAGTCGGTCAGCCGATCAGACAGCTCCTTGGCACTCAACTCCTCGCCACATCCATCCAACGCCTGACAGAGAGGGAGGCAGACATCAGGACTGCAGTTGTTGGGCTGTGTGTGGTGGCCAGCCTGCCTGTTCCAACTGGGATGCGAAGGCAGCGGCGGCTTCGTCTCCGATGCTGTCCACCTCCTGTGCACGCACACTATTCTCAAACGACAACATCGAACGGATCACAACTGCACGCCGCACACGCACAGAGGAATCAGATAAGTGGAGGGATTGCTTGTGCGTTGGATGGGGCGTGTGTGAGACGGACCGACAGCACGGGGGATGAAGTCTCCGTGCGACACACGGCCGTCGGGCTCCTGCAGGCACCCACACAGGCACACGAGTGCCATCAATTGTCTCGCCTTGCTGCGTCTGTCTGGCTGACCAGTGTGGCCTCGGACATGACGGTGTAGATCTGGAAGCGCGTGAGGCCGAGCTTGGCCGAGTGGATGAGGTCGATCATGTCGTCAGGGTCCAGCATACCGCTCATCTGACCACAGACAGACAAACAGACAGACAGACAGACAGACAGATTGAGACACACGCATGCATTGAGACACTTACCTCAGTGTCTCTTGATTCGAACAAGTCCTTAAGGAACTGCGCCAGCTCGTCCTGCTTCATCTCATTCTCCAACAGGCGCAGCGTCGCTGCACAAGAGACATAGACGAGGAGGGGGATGGCAGGATCCCCCCCCCCCCCAC